TTCTTTCACAGCATTGCCACCGACCGCTGTCGGGTTTCTCGGAAAGAAACCTACGTCGCCGGGCTACAACTAAAATTCAGTTAATATTTTATTATAATCGATCCTGACGAATAAATGAATTTCATAAATGAATGAATTTTATAAATGAATGGTTTTTGCTGCCGAATTACTAGAATACAATATTTCAAGGCAGATGACGCATCTATTCGATAATTTTTATTCGAATAGTTTTCAACGGATGTTTTTTACTAACTATCGAATTATTCGAATGAATTGCAACTATCGAATGTTTCGATAGTATTCATTCGATAGTTCCCACTACTAATATAAATCACACGGCAAGCTAACTCTGCCCAGATCCCATTGTTTAAAATTTCTATAAAATTTGACCTTGAAAACACCATTATGAGTGCCGGTCAGGGCCGGATTAAAACGTATCATAAAATTTCCAAGAAAATTAACTATTGATAGACAGGGTCGTATTAAAAAAATACTGTAAATGACTGAAACTAAATTTTATTGACACAATACTTTTATCAAAACAAATGAATCGTTAACCGCGCATACTCCTCAAAAAGTAAAAATGAAAAATCAATTAAACATTTAACTTTAGAGAATAAACAATTAAAATTAAAAAACATGCCAGGAGTTACAAACAAGAATTAATGAAATACGCAATATAAAATATCTATTGAACAATCTAAAGAGGCTACGTACAAATTATGTCCATCAATGGACATAGCAAATTTTGTTAATATTCAAATTGCACAAAATAACAAATCAGCTAATGGAAGAAAAGTAACTGACGAATTTAAATATAAATGTTTGGCTATATTTTTAAAGCCAGGCCGTCAAAAAAAAATTTGAGCCGTCAAATTTGACAGCTGTCAAAAAAATTTCTCAGTTGTCCGATTTTGATAAAAATCGATATATAGGATGGCCATGCGCTAAAATGAAAGAAAAAAAAATTACGCTGTCAAATTTAACAGCTGTCAAAAATTTCAATGTTGATCGATTTTGATAAAAATCTATATATAGGATGGCCATGGGTTAAAAGGAAAGAAAAAAAATTGAACTGTCAACTCTGTTCAAAATCTCAAAGTTGTCCGATTTTGAAAATATCGATATATTGGATGCTCCCTACCCCATAGTCGGTTTTCATTTTATTTGTCTCACATTTGAACTGTCAAATTTGACAGTTGTCGTTTTTTTTAAGTTCTCCTTTTTTATGAAAATCGATACACATATTATTAGGATGCCCATATTAAGAATTGAGTTTAAGTGTGTGGCACTGAATTATTAAGAAAAAGAATTGAGTTTAAGTGTGTGGCACTGAGAAACCAGCATAACTTAAAAAGTAAAAAATAAATTTAAGAAAAAAAACTTTTTAAAAACAAGCTTTTATTTAAATACATTAAAAAGAAAAAATAAACTTTTTCTTTAAAACTTTTATTATGAACTTATAATGTCATTACACAATTTTATATTATATAAAAGCTTGTCGCGAGATTTGAGTATACAGTTGCACTCATAAAAATCTGGTACAACTTTATCTTGTAATTCCAATATCTTGTAAACCTATCATTATTCCCATCCAGAATAAATTCATCCAGTTTAGAAGAACATTTAAAAAACTTTGTGTCCGAATATTACATACGGGTACTGAAAATTGCCAAAATGATCTGGCAAACATCTTATTAACAACGGCAGACCTTATAAAAAACAACGAGACCTCTGTTCTTTTCTCTCTGAATTGTCATGAGCTATCCATAAAAATTAAAAATAGATACGGATAATCAGAAAAACAGTAATTTAGAAATGAATCTTGTTTGTCATTTTGCAGGATACCTAATAATAAAAATTACTTTGAATGCCGTAGACAATGATTGAGTATTAAAACTTTTTAGTTTTCGGACTTCCTTTCTACTACTAAACTACAAAAACCGAATATATCACACAATAAAAACAAAATATATCACTCAAGAAAAGAATGAAATAAATTAAGCCGCACGCTACTGACTCAAAGCTGCCGTAACTGTATGTTGTCGATGACAAAGACTACGACTGACTACGACACTGGTTAATTTCTGTCGCTGGCACTCATAATGGCGGCGTGCGCAAGGGTATGCGCATAGCGTTCCCGCCAAAGCGAGTCGGCCTGCCGTGTGATTTATATGCCGTGCTTCTACTATGTGCCGGATAGTGAGTCTGCCGGTGTTGCAGTCGCATTCTGGGAAAGCTGACTTTCCCCATTTAAACATAGAATCAGCACACCTCCCATGATTTGTCCTTATCCGGTGCAACGCAGACCATGTCTTACGTGGCATGTCAAAGCCTGGCGGGATCTGAGTTATAGCCGGCATATTCCCGGCGTGGTCTGGCAACTCTGATTCCCATTCCCTACTCCATGACTCCGTTAATTTAAAACCGTCCCGATGTAAGCTGCTTGCTGTTTTTAATGTTGGACGTCTTGAGCGAAGCCTGTTCCTATCCAGGTCATGGACATCCAAATGTATCGGCAGTTGCCAGCATGTTAGTAATTTTAGTATATTCTCTAAAAAGTGCATACTGCCTGCGTATATGTGGTGGAGGAATATTACTTAGAATAAGAAGCCACACCGGCTGTGCCCCGGTACTCAGCAGTAGGGTAAACCAAACCCATCGCAGAGGAGCGCAAGGTACTCGCGGATGACCCCCACGTGGTGCCGCATAATTTATTATAGGAGGATATTATTCCGAGTGTTGTGCTTAACTGCAGTTTGTGTGAGGTGCTTCTTAAAGGACAAGGTCCTATCTAGTGTAATGCCTAAATATTTTTGGGTGTTGTTGTGGGAGAGCCAGTTACCTTCAAACCTTATTTTAAGTTCTCGGTTTGCTAATTTATTATTAAGATGGAAACAACTAACTTCCGTCTTTACCGCGCTCGGTTGCAACCTCCACTTGCGGAAGTAGTTTCCCAGGGAAGACAGGTCTTCCGCAAGAACAGCCTCTGTCTCCTTTAGGTTTTTATGTCTCGTAGCTATCTCCCAATCATCCGCATACCCAAATTTTCTAGCTGAAGTAGCAGGCATATCAGCGATATATAAATTAAACAGCAATGGAGCTAAGAGAGAACCTTGAGGCAATCCGTTAAGTTTCATCTTTTTGCTTTCTTTCTCTCCCACTTTTACCTGAAAGAGTCTATTTCGGAGCATATCGTCGATTAAGTTGACGGTTTTCTGGCAGGGAATGCCTCTAGCTAGCTTATAGATGTCATATGGCTCAGCCAATGGCTCAGCCCTGTCTCCAAACTGTATCGTACGCCTCGGTTAAGGCAATAAAAGCAACTGATGTTTTTTCTTGCCGTTGAAATCCTGCTTCGATGTAACTTGTTAGGGACAGAACCTGATCTACGCAGCTACGTCCAGGACGAAAGCCAGCTTGTTCAATCGGTATACTCTCCATTATCTTTGGATTCATTCTGTTGTAGATTAGTCTCTCCAGAAGTTTGTAGATTGTGCTCAGCAGTGCGATTGGGCGATAACTTTGTGGCTTGTCGTTAGGCTTACCAGGCTTTAGGATGATAATGATTTTAGTGCTTTTTAGTGGCTGTGGAATAGTGCCTGTTTTAATTATGTCGATGAAAAAGTGCATCAATTATCGCTTTGTAAATTCACCACAATTCAGAAGGAATTCCGAGTGGATGCCGTCAAATCCTGGAGATTTGCCGGCCTTAATATGTTCCTTTATATGTTGGCCTTAATGCAGATAGTATTTCTTCGAAGGTAAAAGGCTGGGAGTATGCTGTCTCCTCAGCACAAGATGATTTCAGCTGTTTTAATTGTCGCTTGATTTCGATCGTGTGTGCACGGTCCGTTGGTGCCGAGCTTGGTACTCTTGAGGTATCAACAATATTAGAGGCGATTTCGTTTGGATTCACAGGAATGTCCACTCTTGTTCTTTGATTATCTCCCCCCAGTTTTCGTAATAATGCCCAAGCTTTTCAGCTGGATTTTGTAAAGTCTAAATTTTCAACAGTTTCCGTCCACTTCTGGCGGTTCGCAGAGTTTAAACAGTGCAGAAGTTCGTCAGCTATTTCGCGGTCACCTAATTCTAGAAATTCCCTGTATAGCCCTTCGCTAGTCTCGCCCCATCCCGGGATGTACTCCTTTCTATAACCCCTAGGTATGGTTTTCTTGGCGGTGCTAATGATAGCACCAACAAACCTTTCATAATTTCTCCCTAGAGGTGAATCCAACCTAAGCATTTGTCGAGATTATTGGAGAATGTTTCCAGTTTGCTTTATTGAAGTTCCATCTCGGGCGGGGAAAAGATTTTACTAAAGGGATACTCAACCCAATTTCTATTAACACCGGGCGATGTTGGTTATGTGGAAAATCGTCCAGGACAGTTCGTGTAGTTGGAAGCGGATGTTCATTGCTGTCTGAAGAAACGAAACACAAATCTGGGTTATAATCCTGTCTCCATGCTGCAGACTTAAAAGGACCGGGATCTTTGGCGTTAAATACGAGGTATAGGTTGTGCCCGTCTGGCCAGTCCATGGGGCTTTCGCCCTTCAAATCATTTTCCCTGTATTTCCATTTGGTGTAGTGGCTGTTGAAATCTCCTATGTATACAGCTGGGTGAAGGAAAGGCTGGATAACATGCTGTGGCCATGGTGCAGCGGGAGGTTTGTAAATATTACACACTGTGATCTCGCCAACTTGAATGGTAATTTCATGGATACTACTACTCCTTCATCAGGGGAGCTTGGGTCGATTCCACAGTTTAGAATTAAATTTATATATCAGCAGATGAATGGCAAGAATTCTTATATAATAATTTTATATTGCCCGTATACGATGATGACGAATGATAATTATTTTATTGAGAGGTTCAAGAAAAAAAGGTTATTTCTTAGAATCTTCATACAACTCATAATGTTATCTCTTTTTATTTCAGTCATAAGTTAATTTATTTTAATCTCTAATCACCTTCCATAATATCTTTTATATATTTAGTACTGAACAGCAACTGCACAGTCAATGTCTAAAGTTGAAAGATGACCTGCACCGTCTGCAGGCCAGCTCCTTAAAAGAGCACGCGGTGTTGTCAAGAAAGATTGACGCATTGACGAAAGATAAGAGGGAGATGACCAAACAGCTAACTGTGGTACAGAAGGAGAATAGGGCAGCTACGCAGCAATTGGAAGAACTAATTGAAGAGAAGGCAACGTTGTTGAAGAAGTTAGAAACAGCAGCGAAAGACTTCAAGACTAATACGAAAACTAAGAAGCTCGCTCTAGCCAAGTTGGAAGAGGTTAACAATAACATAGAGGACCTTAGGTAATGATATAGATCTTGATATACAGGGTGAGTTTCCTACGATGTTACTACTGATTACTACTGTTACTCTATGGGTATCTCGGAAACTACTGGAGATAGAGAGTCGGTTAAATGGGGAAAGAACTGCAGTTTTGTGAGGTCATAAATATGCGCCTTTCAGATTTTTGAAAAAGTTCATGGCTTACTAGATATTTCGAAAAAAAAACAAATTTCAGCTATTTTAAAAATTGCCCCTAATTCCATTATAAGCTATTTTAGACAAAAAGTTTTCGGATAAAAGTTGTAGATAATCACATCCTTAATGAGATAGTGTCCCCGGTTTTTTTTCTAAAGCCTGTAATTTTTGACATATGACACAAACATATGTTTTTTTAAATGGAAACCATAGTTGGCCATCACTTCATAAAAAACGCCATTTTTTAGCGATATAAGCTATAATATGTTTTCTTCGAAAAATTATCGAGTTATAGCTACTTCTTATCATTATTAAATAATTTCACTTAGTTAGCCATGGAAACATGTTTAATTGCTCTAATAAATGTGAAGCTGCCACATCAAAACTTTTTTTTATCAAATGAAGAAAAGCGTGTAGATACCCGCGCATCAATAGAGTGTTTCCAACATGACTTTCATTATGACCCCCCCCCTCTAATGAAAGAAATGTTAAAAATTATTTATATTATAATAATATAAACTCAGGGATAGGGAGAGGTGGACTAATTGCATGGATGACCTGACCTATCCATTATAGAATTTTTTTTGCGGTATGGTTTTTTTGCGGTATGCCATGAAATCTAAGTGAAATTAGTCAAGAAAGATAAGAATTGACTATAATTTAAATTTATTTTTTCTAACAAGCCTTGAAAATCGTTCTCTAAAAAACATAACATTCACCGGTCAACTTATACTCGAAAATGTATTGTCAAGAAAAGTTAAACCAATAATCTTACACGCTTTTCTTCATATGAAAAATTCATATTTACAATTTTTGTTTATTTTAATTTACAAAGTTTTGATGTGGCAGCTTCACATTTATTAGAGCAATTAAACATGTTTCCATGGCTAACTAAGTGAAATTATTTAATAATGATAAGAAGTGGCTATAACTCGATAATTTTTCGAAGAAAACATATTATAGCTTATATCGCTGAAAAGCTTACAAAATGGCGCTTTTTATAAAGTCACGGCCAACTATGGTTTCCATTTAAAAAAACATATGTTTGTGTCATATGTCAAAAATGACAGGCTTTAGAAAAAAACCGATGACAGTCTCATTAAGAATGTGATTATCTACAAATTTTATCTAAAAACTTTTTGTCTAAAATAGATTATAATGGAATTAGGGACAGTTTTTAAAATAGACGAATTTTTTTTTCGAAATATCTAGTAAGCCACGAACTTTTTCAAAAATCTGAAAGGCGCATATTTATGACCCCACAAAACTGCAATTCTTTCCCCATTTAACCGACTCTCTATCTCCAGTAGTTCCCGAGACACCCATAGAGAACATCAAAGGAAACTCACCCTGTAGAACTTATTTACCGTTTCTACTTGATATAGAAATGATTTACTGTCCTTTTTTAATGCAAGATATTTAAAAATAATGGTTTTGCCCACCACTCTCGTAAACTCATAACTCATAAGTATAAAGTTTATTTAAACCAAAATTTAATCCACTAATCTCGATATTGTGAATGAGGCTTTAGATAAAAAAAATTCAAAAAAAGCTCTCAGATACCATGCAACAATCATAGTAATATTGAATTTCGTAGGCAACAACTAGAACAAGTGACGAGAGACAAAGAAATTTTGGAGAAGAAATTGAGGCTGCTTGAAACAGAATACAACAAACTTCACGAACGTTACATACAAGCCCAACAGAATTCCTATAGAAGATCACACGACGATAATCTACCAGAAAGAGACGAAAGTGGTTCAAAAGCCCAAACCACTGTTATAGAAAAATTAAGTTTTTGCGCGGATAATAGCATTCCTCCAACCGTACAAGTATATAATATACGGGGTGTCTCAAATTCGAGCCTCATTATAGGGATCTCGGAAACTAGGAGAAACTAGGAGATACACAATTTGGATTAAAAAGAGGCAAACTTACGCAGTTTGATACTGATCAAAATATCAACAAAGAAGTTGCATTGTTGAAAGAAGAAACCAAAAACTCGAAAATTTTTGAATAAAAAATATTTATGATTTTATTTCAATTTTTTTATGATAGTATTTGAAGAGATAGGGAAATGTTAATTTTATAGTAGAGCTAGCAACGTTTTTATTTTAAGATAGCTGGGTCTTTGATATATCTTTTACTATGCTCTGTGGAACAGCATGCGGCCCGTCTGGCTGCCGATACCCGTTGCGTTCACTACTGCGCATCGGAAGAAGATCCTATATTTTTTTTTAATTTAGTCCTATAAATTCTAATATTGAATATAAATCGAACATGTCTCCATAGCGCAGTGCGTAGAGTTTCTGACTACGAACCGACGATTCAGAGTTCGAATCCGGGTCAGGGCAAAGACTTTTTTTTTTAATTACTTACTAAATATTTTAATACTTTACTATCAGAATATAAATTAAAATAAAATAAAAAAGTTTTTGCCGTGACCCGGATTCGAACTCTGACTCCTCGCTTGATAGTCGGAACCTCTACGCGTTGAGCTGTGGAGACTCGGTCGGTTTATATTCAATACTAGAATTTAGAGGACTAATAAAAATATAGGATCTTCTTTCAATGCGCAGTAGGGAACGAAACGTTTACTGGCAGCCAGACGGGCCGCATGCTGTTCTAGAGAGCATAGTAAAAGATATATCAACGTCTTAAAATCCTTGTTTTTCCGACGTTGCTAGCTCTCGTACTATTACATCGTCATTGTTGCATTTTGTTGCTAGAAGATGGCTTTAGCAGATTTTAAAACCCATGTTTTGTTTTGCGCTGCAATTATCAACTTCTCTTTTTTAAATACGGCCCTGTATTTTTATTCAAGAAATAACGTATCGCACTTATTCTAAAAAATCACATTAATGACATTTTCCATAAGAACTCACGTGTTACTTATGTCTCTCCTTTAGAGAGAGACAGAGAATAGTTTTTTAAAACCTTGCCAGAAAATCATTACTATATGAATTTTTCGAGTGCGATACATTATTGGTTTTGGGACTTTGGAAGATCTTAAAATTCGTAAAAATACCGTATTTCAAAAAAGGAAGTTGATGATTGCAGCTCAAAAAGAAAACGACGTTTAAAAATCTGATAACTGCTATCCTGTAGAACAAAAAACATGGTAATAAAAAAATTATTTTGCCATATCTATTCAAATAGAGTTATAAGAAATAAAATTGAGATCGAGAATATTTATTTTTTTGTTGCAGAAATTTTGCCTTTATGTAACCGACTAGTTTAGACGGCTAGAACAGCCAAGATCCCAATGATGAGGCTCGAATTTGGGACACCCTGTACAATGCGTTTTTGCTTTTCCTATTAAAAATACCTATTTGTAGAAAACTGTAAATGTGCTTGCTTCAGTATCGCAAACGGAATTCGATATGAAAATAATTCAGGAGAAAATAAAGCAATTGGAGAGAAATTTAGAGAATCTGAACGTTGGATGCGATAATTTCGAGAATTATAGAGGACCGGACCAGCTTGAAGTATGAAAATTTTTAAATATATATATTCTTTAACTGAAATTGATGTTGTAATAAGCGAGGACATGATATTCCAGTTTAATTACACTATGCATATTATGCCATCCTAGCAACACGTCTATGAAATATTTTTCGCAAAAAAGTTAAAAAATTTTGATTTTTTTTTTAATTTTTAGTCAAAAAACATATCTTGATAATATGGCAACGTAGGTAGTAAGTTAAATTTACAAGAAATAAAGTCCACAAAAATCCAGAGGATTTCAAAGTTTAAGCATTTTTTTTTCATAGCAAAATAACTCTGTTATTTTGGAGTAATTTGAAAAACGGTAGAGAGAAAATATCTTTCTTTTATTGATATATACCAGCTCTGAATATTTTCACTTTGAATTTATATAAGACTCACTACACTCAGATAAAAAAAATGGTGATGGGAAAAACCGATTAATTTCAATAATCGAGTACTCGAGTTCGAAGCGATTGCAATAACCGAGTGGTCGCTCGAGCGAAACATCACTCGAATTTAAAAATACGGTTTTTCGCCCGTCGCTTGTAAGTACTCGTTAACGCCAAGCGATAAGCAGTAAGTTGGGTGCGCAGGGTACATATTCTTTCGGTGACGAATGGCAAGTAGCGAGCGATTCGCTTGATCCCTTGATTTAGTCTATTTCAAAGCATTGTCGATGTAGGTCGTAAAATTTTGTCCCCCAGATACGCAATGGATAAATATACAGGGTGTTTCAAAACAAATGCGAAAACTTCATTCCTTGTTCAAAATAAAGGGTAGTTTGCTTCATAAACGTTGGGTCAAAAGTCAACCATTAGGGAGATATTGCGGTACAAAGATGGCGGAAAAATAATGTTTTTATTTTTTATCTTGAAAACGAAAAGAGATAGACTAATAAAATTTTATGGAAGCATTACTGTTATGAAAACACACTTTCTGGTAATTTTTTCACTTTTTTAAAATGAGTGGAAGGGGTTGAAATAAACTACCCCTATCATTCTTGTTAACGAAATTTAAAGAAAAATCTTATCAAACAAATGCAAAAAAATTAATTTCGATAGATCAGTTTATTTAGAAACTTTTTTATCTCTTTTATTTTTTTGATAAAACTCACCGATTTGAAATTAAAAAATAAAATGTAAAGCATTACATGTCAGGACAAAAAACTTTTTCTGATAAAGAATCTAGTGGGCTGCTATAATTTTTTTTGAAAAAAATCTAGTCGGCCGCTGTTACTTTTTAGAATGTTCCTAATATTATTTTATTTGACATTACTCTACTGCAATACGTTATTATCTAGATGATTATTATTATCGTTATTATCAATAGATTCTTAATCTAAAAATGTTTTTTGTCCTGACATGTAATGCTTTACATTTTATTTTTTAATTTCCAATCGGTGAGTTTTATCAAAAAAACACAAGAGGTAAAAAAGTTTCTAAACAAACTAAACTATCCAAATTAAAGCATTTGCATGTAAGATTTTTCTTTAAATTTCGTTAACAAGAATGATAGGGGTAGTTTATTTCAACCCCTTCCACTCATTTTAAAAAAGTAAAAAAATTACCTGAATGTGTGTTTTCATAACAGTAATGCTTCCATAAAATCTCTTTTCGTTTTCAAGATAGAAAATAAAAACATTATTTTTCCGCCATCTTTGTACCGCGATAACTCCCTAATGGTTGACTTTTGACCCAACGTTTATAAAGCAACAAGGATTATTTGAACAAGGAATCACCTCCTAAAGTTTTTCGCATTTGTTTTGAAACACTCTGTATATATACGGCGTCGCATAAATTTGCTACCTGCAATGTATATAAACAATTCGCTCGGCTTTTTATCGTGTATGTCACGTTAAAATCGGATTTCAATTTATTTCTTCGCTCGTTTATAATCGAGCAATATCGGTTACTTCAATAATTGAGTACTCGAGCGAATTTTCGCTCGAGTTATCCCATCACTGAAAAAAACGTAACGGAGAAATTTTTGGTTAAATTTAAAGTCTTATATTTTTGTTATTTTTAGACTTATTTTTATGAATTTTTTAGCCATCCGTATATAATTATATCAACTTTAATTAGTAAACTCAGTTTTTTTAAACATTAGTATTGTTTTTGGGTTGTTTTTTTACCCTAACCTTAAAACAAATAATTTCGTGTGTTAATTTTCCTAAAATATAATTCTACGGCCAGAATCATGACTCCTTAGCATTTTGCTTTTTGGATCATGTCAATACAGGCATTGGTTAATTTTTAAGAGCGCCATCTCCACTTTCAGCTATCTATGGGAAATATTTGTTTGTCTTTTTTAACAATAGCCACTGTTTTTCGAAGTTGGCGCAAAAATAACTGATGGTAACCTGAATCTGTTTGTAATTAATAGATTTTAAAGAGAAGTTCAAATTCGTGTTCAAAAATGACCAAACTTATATACAGGGTGTCCCGGAAATAAGTACAAGTATTTTAAGGGGTGGTAGATCTCGATAAAAGAAACAATTTTCTCTTTATCGTTTTTCAAATAAGTCCAAAATAACGGAGTTATTTTACTTTGAAAATTTCCAAAAAAAAATATTTTTTGCTAAAGTTTTAAGAACCACTGGATCTTTTCTGGATTTTCCTTCTCATAAATTTAATCTAATATCTATGTTGCCATACTATCAAGAAATTATGTTTTTTAACTAAAAACTAAAAAAAAATCCAAATTTTTTTTTTAAAAATTTCGAATTTTCAAAATGTTTTTTGCGCGAAAAAACCTCATAGACGTATTTGTGGGGTTGAAATATACTACCAGTTAAAATACTTGCACTTATTTTTGAGACACCCTGTATAATATATCCAGGTGACATCATTCCCAGATTCATTTTAATCAACAATCTACATTATTTTTATATAATTTTTCTCTCCAGTTACTACTATTTTACTGAAAATGAGAAGTAAAATTCAAATGACGTTGGAATTTAAATATTTATACAACTCCTATACCACCGCTTTTATTTAATGATTAGTATTAAATTTAAATGTGTCTGTTTTACTTAATTTTAGTCAGATTTGAGCGAGTCAATCATAGAACCCACCACAGATTCCCTAAACAGAGTAGAAGGATCCAGATCCACATTTAGCGGATATTCCAGTAATAATAGTCCAAGACTAAAATATTGGTCCGAAAAAGTTTCTGGACTGATTGGAAACAGTCACAATCAATTTTCTAAGGTTTGTCAGTGGTCTAGATGAGAAATGCTATAATACAGGGTTGTTCATTACATACGATACGGAGTATTGTAGCTAAACGATTAGATTTTTACCAATTGTAAGTTTCGTGTTCGTTGAAGGACTATTAGAGCTACAATTTAAAAATATTTTTACAAGATACATAGTGTCCCAAATAAATAAAAAATATCAAAGTTGTATTTTTTTAAATGGAACACCCTGTATACTATTACATTTTTAGTTTCTACGATTAAAATAAAGGTAAATTTGATAAAGGTTTATTACACTTGAACCTTACCGTTTTCGAAATATTTTCAATTTTGTGAAATTGCAGTCAACATTTTAAGGCTTCATTTCTCCAAGGATTTCAAAGTTTTTATATTTACTGAAGTTTATTTATTGATCAGTTATTGTGCTGCAATAATAAAATTATACTACCTTATACAGAGTGTCTAAAATTTTATTTTAAATAATTACTAGCTTTAAACGGCAATAACTTAACCTTATGAGAATCAGATGCACAATTTAATTGTCTATCAAATTGTATTATACCATTTTTTACCTATCTCTTCAAGTTTCCGTAGAAGATGCATTTTCTTGTAATTTAAAACTCATTTATCAATATACCCATGGAATACTGACATTTTAAATTATTTTTAAAGATGTACCAAATTCCAAATTTTTAAAGAGTACAGATACTAATATTGTCGATATAGTTTGTTTATTTCATTAAAAAATAAAAAGAAACTTTAAATATTGGTTAAAGAGGACCAATTAATATGATTCCAGTATTCAAACTACATTAATTAACTGTTTGCGTTGATTAATAATAATTCCTCCAAATACTAAAAAACTGAATTTTGTATGTGTATTAGACAGTGTGGTCAAAAGTAACACCTTAAAAATGATATTTCACTTTTTGACAAAATCTTATTTATAACAACAGAGACATTCATTTTCATAACTTATTATTATATTGATTTCCGATTCAAATCCATTTATTTAGAATAATTTATTAACGAACATAATTAAGTATGTAATTAATTAGAATTTGGGCGGAAATAATGGTGCTATATTTAATTAATGGTATACTCTTTTGTAAGAGTCTTGTTTTCCGTTAAAAATTGTTTATATTAAATTGTGTCATTTTAAGAAATAATATTTTATTTGAATCTCTAATTGACTTTTCTTGACCGCATGTATAAAAATGTCGTTTCCTAGACGATGCGGTTTGCATTGTTGATGATTATTTAGACTGACGTCGCCATTTATCAAAAAATATTAAATTCAGATTATAATTGTGTGGAAAATATTTCTGGGACTGAATAGAAGGAATGAAGTATTATACAGGTGAGTGTATTTTGTTCACTCACGGGCATTACTGGGATTTGTATGAGAGTAGTTTAATATTATTTAGTAACAGTTATTGAGCTTTAGTAGTAGATAGAGAAGGGTATTTTAGTATTACTTTTGTGTGTGTGTGTTTTATAGTAGACAAGTATTTATCAAAGGGCATTTTAATATAGTTTAGTTAAAAGATAGATGTTTATCAAAGAGTGTTTTAGCGTTATTTATTATAGATACGTAATGGACAGCTATTTATCAAAGAGTATTTTAGTAATATTTATTGGGTGTGATTTATAATACCTGGCAAATTATCAAATGGTATTTAGTATTATTATTTTGGAGTGTTTTATATTTTTACGTATGACTCAAATTGTTTAACAACAATAATAAGCTATGTCGCTTTGTGGCCATCCCTTTTGTGTGTGGGACAGACGCCTTGTCGCTTAGCTGCGGAACAACAACATTATGCTATGTCGCTTTGTGGCCATCCCTTTTGCGTGTGGGACAGACGCCTTGTCGCTTAGCTACGGAACAACAACATTATGCTATGTCGCTTTGTGGCCATCCCTTTTGCGTGTGGGACAGACGCCTTGTCGCTTAGCTGCGGAACAACAACATTATGCTATGTCGCTTTGTGGCCATCCCTTTTGCGTGTGGGACAGACGCCTTGTCGCTTAGCTACGGAACAACAACATTAAGCTATGTCGCTTTGTGGCCATCCCTTTTGCGTCTAGGACAGACGCCTTGTCGCTTATTAAATTGATATTAACACCATTCATATATTATGCTATATAAACAAAAAAAAATATTATATTTTTCTTACTCGCTCTTACACTTTTATAAAGATTTAAATAGTTTTTTTTGCATACAAATGGGCCAGTAATATTATCATTTTGCTAAAAACGATAATATTACTAGCCTGTACATTTTGTACATTTGTTGCTTTAAAAACAATCTAAAATGTCAATATTCCATGGGTATATTGATAAATGAGGTCTAGATTATAGAAAAATGCATTTTCTACGAAAACTTGAAGGGATAGGTAAAAAGTGGTATAATACAATTTGATAGATAATTAAATTGTGCATCTGATTCTCCGAAAATATACAGGGCGTTCCGTTTAAATTAAACAAGTTATTGCCGTTTAACTTCAGTAAATATTTAGTATTAAAAACTTTAATACCCTTGGAGAAATGAAGCCTTAAAATGTTTACTGCAATTTCACAAAATTGAAAATATTTCAAAAACGGTAAGGTTTGAGTGTAATAAACCTTAATCGAATTTACCTTTATATTAATCGTAGAAACTAAAAATGTAATAATATACAGGGTGTTCCATTTAAAAAAAAATACAACTTTGATATTTTTTATTTATTTGGGACACTCTGTATCTTGTAAAAATATTTTTAAATTATAGCTCTAATAGTCCTTCAACGAACCCAAAATTTACAATTTGTAAAAATCTAATCATTTAGTTACAATACTCCGTGTCGTATGTGGTGAACAACCCTGTATAGTATGATGATAATCTATAAAATATGAATTCCGCCTTTTTATTTTATACTAAAAAATATTAATATTTTTTTAGTATAATGGTAAATAAAATCTGGTTATATATGTATGTGTACATTATATACATACATTAAATTTTACACCATAATTTTGAACACTCTAAAACTTTGTTTTTGATATTGTGTAAAAACTACATTTTGTGGCTCTGATCTCTTTATTCTATTCTATATTCTGATTTTAAAAGTCTTTAAAATATATCGTTTATATTTGATAAAACTGTGTTATGACAACTTTTTATTACCTTGATTCAAAGACAACTACTCAAAAAAAAATAAAACAATCTTTAATAAACTGCAGAGAATACAACGTTATTCGAATAACATTTTAAAAACAATAATCAATTTCAAACTTTATTTTTAGATTCACGCGTTGGCCAGTCGAGTCCAAGAAAAAGCAAAACAATTTGGCAGCATAAAGCTATCAGAAGGTGACAGCACACTTGAAGAAGACAGCAGCCAATCTGATGAAAGAGTACCGAAAAGACTGGTCAGCAGTTCGATCGCCTTTAAAAATTTTCTGAAAAGTCTGAACAATATCGATACCGTCAACAATCAGTAATCTCACAGCAGAGCCAAACTCAAAGCCAAAGCCCATATTAAATATTCAACAAAAATTATTTAATAAAGTAAAATGAAATGAGACTTTATTAGTTTGTTTTTTTTTAAATTAAAAGATAATATATTCAAAATTGTATGAGGACTAATTTCTAATATGAAGACAAAATATTTAACATATACAGGGTTGTTCACCACATACGACACGGAGTATTGTAGCTAAACGATTAGATTTTTACAAATTGTAAGTTTTAGGTTCGTTGAAGGACTATTAGGGCTACAATTTAAAAATCATTTTACAAGATACAGAGTGTCCCAAATAAGTAAAAAATACAGTTTTATTTTTTTAAATGGAACACCCTGTATATTATTCTATTTTTAGATTCTACTATAAATAAAGGTAGATTTGATTAAGGTTTATCACACTTAAACCTTACAGTTTTTTAAATATTTTCAATTTTGTGAAATTGCATTAAAAAAATTAAGGCTTCGTTTCTCCAAGGTATTAAAGTTTTTAATACTAAATATTTACTGAAGATTATTTATTGATCAGATATTGTGTTGCAATAATAAAAATTATACTACTTTATACAGAGTGTCCAAAAATTTATATTAAATAATTACTAGCTTTAAATGGCAATAAATTGTTTAATTTAAATAGAACACCCTCTATATTTTACGGGAATGAGATGCACAATTTAATTGTCTATGAAATTGTATTATACCATTTTTTACCTATCTCTTTAAGTTTTCGTTGAATTTTCATTTTAATTTAGACCTCATTTATCTCTGGAATATTGACATTTTAGATTTTTTTAAAGGAACATATATGTACAAAATGTATAGTTGGTAAAAATAAAAATATTGCCAGCCCATTTGTTTACAAAAAGAAAAATATTTGAATATTTGTAAAAGAGTAGACCAATTAAATAGACCACCATTATTTCCGCACAAAAATTAGTTAATTATATACTTAATTGTTGTAATTAATATATTATTCTAAATAAATGTGTATTTGAATCAGAAATCAATATAATAATAGGTAAGTGGTTGTTATAAATAAACATTCGCCAAAAATGATAAGGTGTTACTTTTTACCACACTGTCTAATACTTATACAAAATTCAGTTTTTTAGTATTTGGAGCAATTATTATTAATCAACGTAAACAGTCAAATAATGTAGTTTGAATACTGGCATCATATTAACTGATCCTCTTTAACAAAAAATATTTACACAGTTTTTTTTAGTGTTTAAAGACTAATGAACTATATCGACAATTTTAGTATTTGGTACTCTTTGAAAATTTATTACATCTTTAAAATAAAAAATAATCTAAAATGTCAATATCCCATCAGTATAACGATAAATGAGATCTAATTTATAAAAAAATCATTTTCCACGAAAACTTGAAGAGATAGGTAAAAAATGGTGCAATTTGATAGACAATTAAATTTTCCATCTGACTCGTAAAATATACAGGGCGTTCCATTTAAATTAAACAAGTTATTGCTGTTTAAAGCTAGTAATTATTTAATATAATTTTTTAGACATGAAATTAGCCTGAAAATTTTTACTGCAATTTCATAAATTTGAAAATATTTCAAAAACGGTAATGTTTAAGTGTAATAAACCTTACTCAAAGTTTCCTTTATTTCCATCGTAGAATCTAAAAATAGAATAATATATAGAATGTTTCATTTAAAAAAGAGAACTATAATATTTTTGACTTATTTAGGACACTCTGTATCTTGTAAAAATATTTTTAAATTGTAGCTCTAATAGTCCTTCGGCGAACCCAAAACATACAATGTCTGAAAATCTAATCGTTTAGCTACAATACTCCGTGTCGTATGTGGTTGTAGGAACAACCCTGTATAAAACTCAGCTTAAAGAAGTAATTAAGAATTTTGGGGCTTGAAATTAATAATAAATGCCACAACCCTTGAAAATCTTCTCATTAGGTTCAGAGGAATTAAAAATAAAACACTTATTAACTCTAGAATACTGTTACAATTTCTTCAGTCACAAAACTATGCTTTTAAAGCAATATAAACATTATTTATCATTAAAAAGTAACATTTTTACAGCAATATAAACTTAAAATAAAATAGATTTCAACACCAAGTTCCTTGATCAATACCATTCTCTATAGCACGTTTGTAATTGTTCCACTTAATCTGTTCCTTAAAACCGTTCATATCACCGTTCTCTAAACCTTTTTCCTGAATATATATCTGCGTTTGGCCTTTGTGATTTCTTTTTCGTGACTCGTTTTTCCCATACGGATCACCAGGTGTGGTGTTTGACGAATCAACTGATTGTAAACTGTGAGTTTTGTGCAAGGACAACCTGAGTGGTTTCTTGGGTGGTGTTGGTCTGGGCTTAGAGTTTTCATAATAACTATGAATATGGGGAGGTTTTCTCTTATCTATTTCCGAACCATAATCAGTACTTTTGTATCCGTTTCTTGTGGAAGTAGAGTTGCAATCACTGTCAAAATCCAAAGATTTCACACTGCGAGTGTTCTGAATCTTCTTAAACAATCTATTCAATCCTTTTGAAGGGCTTTCTGGTGCATCCAAGTCTTCAACACTTCGAGAATCGTAATATTTCGGGCCGATATGGACTTCTGATCGGAAGTCTAGCACTGAAGTAGATTTCCTGGCGTTATAATGCTTCAAAATGTCTGCATCGTACTTTTCCGAAGCAGTAATACATTTTTGACGGTGTTTCTCGTACAAACTTAGCTCTTTATTTCCTCTGGTCAGCTCGTGAACGATCTTGGTAGCTTTTTTGTAACTCTGATCTACTACGTCGTTAGAAACATATTCTTTTTCAGAAGTGGTTCTAGAGAAGTCAGCCGAATACCTGTTTTCGTGGTTTCTTCTGTTATATCTACGGTCAGCATTGGAGTTTGTTTCAGAATTATAATCTTTATCCCTATGATGATGGTGTTTTCTGAACGTGATCTTGTCCATTTGGTCCAGACCATCTCGACTTGCTGAAGTTTTCCTTGGTGACTTATGGCGATGATTTCTATGACAATGGTAGTCAGGTTGTGGACTTGGTGCCGGGATATGTGTACTGGATACATTGGAAAGACTACTTTTTGATCTCATCATGATATTGTCTTTACATTCGATGTTAGGTACGTTGGAAACTAAAGTTGTGACTTGTGGACCTTTTTGGAATACTTGGACATCGTTTGAGTGATTTGATGAATGCGTGGAGACTGGTGAATGTTGAGAGGTTATACTGATGTTCGTTACATTTTGATTCGACTTGGAAATGGATGGATTGGGTGAAGTAATGCGAGATTCTGGCTCAGATTTCCTGTTCAAGAGGTCAGAAACCTAAAATAAATATATACATTTTTTAAATAACTAAATTTTCTTTATAAAATCCAATGAAAGATGAAGACAGCAATGAAGTTGTGCACTTTACCAACACCAGACATGCATTCACTATTAAGGAGGGTCTACATTTAGTAACATGTTATATAACATTGCTATTTAACAAGCTACATATCACATGTTAAAATAACGGGAGCCGTCCACATTCTAGTTTTTGTAATCATGAATCGTTTTGGCAAGAAAGAGGTTCAGCTCGCAGCAGCGGTGTGCGTAATTATTTCTGAACAAAGAGAAAGAAAGTCGAGAAAAAAAGCGGTTTTGAGTCCGCCATAGCCTACCAGCAAGATCTAGATACAGTTGAACTCGATTAGCTTATCTTTTCAATACTTGCTTCGACTGTTTCTCGTGGTGTGTTTCTGTCTTTTAAAAACATTAATAACTTAAAAGTAAACCATTTTGAATTATCCACTTCATCTAAACCATGACCTGATTTGAATTTCTTTTGTTCCCTCTGGAACTGGCCTATTAGATAACGCATTTTTTTCTCAACTTTTTCTCTTTCTAAATACATAATATACTATGAAATGAAGTTCGCTGTCATTTTATATGGAAAATTATATGGGGAATGTCATATCGATCGTCATGTCTAAGCCTACTGGACGGGAGGCCGACTGGACGCATTTTTTTTCGATCATACGGTATTATTGACCAGTAAATAAAAAAACCAATATCAGTTCACCACACTAAGATTCTGTCGCGCACGTCCCTGAAAATATGAGCGGCTAAACAAAAAATTTAGCAAGTGTGGACGCGTTGTTTCATGTTACAATAACAGTGTTGTACAACATCTTTTGATCTTTACCGACTACAAATGGATAACATCTAGCAAGTTATATAGCATCGAAATTTGCTAAATATGACTAAAAAATATGTAACATGTTATATAACTTTGCTATATAGCAGTGTTATATAGCAAGTGTGGACCGTCCTTTATAAGAGCATCACACCGTGCATCTACAATAAATGTGTTACTAAAAATATGGGCCACCTGATTCTCCTAATATTGTTCTCATAATATCATACAGCACCGGGGCCTTACGGCTTACTGTGCTTGGTATCTTCAAACACAGGTACGAAGATGTTTTTGAATCATGTACAATATTGCAAAATATGTTTACTGGGTTGGTTTATCATATTTCTGTTAATATTTGTCTGTTTTCTTTTATTTTGCCTCCAACGAGCTAATGTCTAACAGATAATGAGCATTGCTATTTATGGTTCTTTGATAAAAAGTTTATAATAAAAGCTTCATTGTAATTCAAGAGTATTTAGTATTGGTACCAATATAAAGGCGCTTGCATTTGTTCTTCTTAGATTAAGCGAATCTTCAGCTTTGTCTTGCATAATTGCAATACTCTCTATTGGCTAGCGCTCACTGTATTTTCTCTAAACAAGGCTCAAACAAGTATTGATAATATTGGCTAAACATAAAAATAATCACTTTTTTCAAATGGGAAAAAATTGAAACCCACTTTTTTATTTTACTAGTGAAATAAAAAAATTTCGTTACTTTTTGGAAATTGGAAAATCTTTTCACTAGCGACATAAAAAAAGTATGTTTCCATTTGAAAAAAAATATTTGTTATCATTTCTTTATCGCTCAATTCCATGACAGCTGCGGCCATTATTATATGACATTCGACATTCGAACAATTTCATTTTTGAAATAGATAGCCACATGTCTTCTCTTTATGTCACAGTGGCTGTGGTAATCACTAAATTTGACGTTTAGGCTATACACATTTTTGACAGGCAGTTTTTTTTTGTCCAAAAATTTTAAATACTTTTTTTCTCAAAAAGGGTTAATTTTGGGTATAGAGTGTTTGATATCAAAATTCATAAAGTTTTACAAAGAATTTAACTATCTAATAAAAAAATGGAGGCACCCATTTAAAATAAGAAAGTTGCTGTCAACTTCCGGTATTTCCGAAAGTGCCGCCATATTGAAAATATTTTTAATCGGTAGATCTCGTTGTGAAACAATGATGTGCAAAAAAATCTCCCATCTAGATATTGTAGTTCTCTAGAAATTTATGGAGCATGCTCATCCTGGGACACCATGTATACATGAACGATTTAGTAGTGGCAGATAAAATATAGATGAGCATGCAATAAAAATACAAACAGTACAAATTATTTTACATATATATGAAATATTACATTCTTAAAAATAGGTTAATGCAGTGAATGATGCTATTTTTACTAGTCATATCAAGCATATACCGGGTGAGACAAAAATCAAAAGTTGACATATGATATATGTCATTCTATTCAGAATGCCATTTTTAACCGAATAAAGTAAAAAAATACCGAGGGTGACATTTAAAAATCAAAAGTTCTAGTCATTTCCGGTGAAACAGGAAGTGATCGAAAACATTTGTATAAGTCCAGAATCTCGATTTTTTTTATCTAAAAAAATAAAAAGTTATAGAGGTGAGCCACTTTTGAGACGCATCCGGTATAGTATCAAGCAGAGCTGTTATATCGCCCATTTCACATGAAAATTGCCAAACAATTCTATTTCGTGTTTCTTTCCGCCATCTAACTAAAAAATTCTTTCTATATTAAATATTATTATTATAAAATTTAGTTTAGGTATTTACATACATACATACTGCTACATTACTACTACTACATTGTGGTGATTTAGTGTTTTTACTTTGCTACATACTGCCATTACTCGCTGACGAGTATTCGACACGCATCAAAAGATGGTCACTCAAGGCGTTTTCTTTCATGAGCTTTTCTGTGACTGAAAAGCCCGATACGTGATGTTATTTGCCTACGGCACTCCGGACATTCAAAAACCTCATTGCTTTGTTGCCTCTGTACTTTTTGGTTGTCGCTGTTAACTGAGTTTACAATTCTTCTCCATTGAGTGTTACTATATGAACTTATAGTAACACTCATACCATTGTGAACTGCTTCTTCCCAATAATTCTGCATATGCATGTTAATCCCCTTTAAGTTTTCGTGGAAAATGTCTTTGTACCTTTTGAGTTGTCCACCCGGTCTCCTCTTACCGTCTACAAGCTCATCGTAAAGCAGGGATTTTGGTATGCGGTTTTCTTGCATTCTGCTTACGTGACCAGCCCATCTTAAGCGGGATTTTGTAACCATGACTTCAATATTCTCGCAGTCAGCTTTTTCAAGGATCGATACATTTGAGACATGATGAAACCACCACCGGATTCTTAAAAGCTGTCTAAGGTGTCTCTGTTGCAACTTGTTTAATGCGTTCATGTGTCGGCGGTACGGCACCCATGTTTCGCTCCCATATAACATGGTGGGGATTATAATTGCTCGGTACACTGCGAGTTTCGTTTTTGTATTCAAGTCATGATTGTAGTAAACCCTGTCTTTTAACTTCCAGAATGCTCTTGAGGCGCTGCTAATCCTGTGCTGAATTTCAGAGTCGATATTGGCCTTTTCCGAAATCAAACTGCCGATGTAATTAAATTCCGCTATATATTCCAATAGTTCTTCCCCGATTTTTATAGCAGTTTTATGATCTTCCGGGGGAGTGCGCACGATTTTGGTTTTGTCGATGTTTAGCTTAAGGCTCAAAACCCTGTATGCCCAGGTATATTTGTTCATCATTTCTTGTAATTGTTGTAACGTGTTTGCAACTAGAGCGCAGTTATCAGCGTATTGAAGTTCTGTGATGAATTTTGTACGTGTTTTTGCCCCAAGTCTTTTTATGTTGAACAGACCGCCATCATATCTGTATCTAATGCCCAATCCTCTCTCCTGCAGTTTGCTGTCCGCTATAATGGAGAGCGATGCCATGAATATGTTGAATAGGAGAGGCGCTAAGACACATCCCTGCCTAACTCCTGTATTTGTCAGGAAGGGATCGCTCAGTGATCCATGATGTGACACTCTTGACTGGTTGTTGTTATGGAGGCTTTTACACACTGTAAGAAATTGAACCTCCGAACTTGTTCATAATTGTCCAAAGTGCATCTCTGTTCACAGAGTCGAAGGTTTTTGTTAGATCTTTTTCCTGTAGTTGGCGGATGGAAAATATGGAATCGATGGTGCCACGGTTGGTGCGAAAACCCGTTTGCGATTCTGGAAGGATTTTTTTCTATATGTGGGTGCAGGCGATTTGACATAATTTTTGCAAGAATTTTTCCTCCAATAGCCAATATTGAAATTCCCCGGTAATTTCCGTAGTCTGATACACTTCCTTTGTTCTTAAATATATTCACTATATTCGCGTTGCAAAAGTCCTGAGGTACCTCTCCGCTTTCCCATATGACATCGAAGAGAGCCTTAAGGTGGCGAATAAGTTCTTTACTTGTACACTTATAGATTTCCGCCGGGATCGCGTCACAGCCAGCTGATTTGTTGTTTTTGAGCTGTTTTATGGATGCCAGTATTTCCTGTGCTGTTATTGGGGTAGGTCTAATACATCGAGGCTGTTATACTGAGGTATTGTGTTTAGTGCTTCTATATTGGGGTTGTTTTCTTGGTTAAGGATATGGGTGTAATGCTCTTTCCAGCTGTTTCTAATTTGCTCTTCCTCTTTTAGAAGTTCGCCATTTTGTGCCATGATTAGGTATTTACCTACTGATAGACGACAGTAAAACATGGTGCCCGGCCCCCCTAATATGTATCTATAAATTGGGCTAAAAATGGCGCACTAAAAAGCATATTCTACGTTACTTTTTATTTGGCCCCCCCTAAAATAAATTTCTGTATCCACCCCTGAGTCCGCGCTATTCTGATTTGTAGCATTCCTTTAAATCGTATTTCTATTCGTCCTGTATCAAGTTAGACTTTTGCAATTTTCATGTGAAGCTGACGATATTAAGATTGGGGGGAGTTTCACATTGTAGGGGTTAATAAACATTAATAAACAAATCTATGCTGGTAACCGTAGTAAAACCAAACTGCATTCCATTTAATAAAGCCTATTATATACTTAAATTTTTAAGACTAACCTGTTCTTCCAGGTATGATATCCGATGAGTCAATCGAATGTTGTCAGATTTCAGGCCGTCCTTCATTCTTTGAGCCTCGTCGGCTCGTTCTTTGACGTGCTCAAGTTCTGATCGCAACGCTGCCACTTCTTGAGATGCCGTATTGGATACTGGAGGACTAGGGTTGCCATTTTCGGTGATTTTCCTTAAAATTACTAACTGAGCTGGATCGGGAGCTGCAGCTAGTAGTCTGGCAAGTTCGTCGCGTGTTTTGGTTAAAACAATTTTTCCATTAACTTCAATCAATCTGAATACAAAAAAACATTAAAATGCCATTAGAATATGTTTATTAACTTCAATATAGTAATGAAAAATATACGTAATAACCAATTTTAGGATATTTTTTTTAAGAATTACTACTTAACAAAAACTGATATGAAGCGTTTTTGTTACAGTAAATCACTTTGTATTTGTTTATTTTTATGTATCTAGTTTTTACATAAAATAAATTATTTAACTTTTATATCTAACGGAGTACTTAAATTGTAATATTAATATTCAAATATATGCAACCAATCCTTTACTCAAACATATTCTATAATCTTGTTTTTTAGGTCCCGACAATCATGAAATGTATCCATTAAGAAACCCCCATTTGCATGTTGAGTTATAATTTGAAGAAGCTTTCTAATAACGCTTCAATATATTTCAGTCTTAAAAAAAGCGGGTTTCTTTAAAGTAGCTTTTGTAATTTAATCTGACGATTTAGATTTCTTTAGTACGAATTAGCATTTATTTTTATTATTATTACTTCTTCTATTTATTTTATTACCGCTGAATTAGAGAAAAGAGATAAGAATACCTTTCTAATATAGACATAATGATAATGAATTTAATTAATAAAAATCTTAATCTTGCAAGGCATTTTTTACGTGATCTTAACTCCCAGAACTAACTAAAATTGACGATGTGCCCCTAACATTTTAAAATAAATTCTTTTTGATCAGACCTAACAAAGAACGGTCACGGCGGGTACACATTACAGGTGGACACCGGATATATGGGTGAGAAGGTACGACTATTAAACCCAACTGCCATTAAAAAAGCATAATGGTACCTACGCTAACGATATCTATGAGTTAAAATAAGATTACAACGTAGGGGATAATACATTCTTTTAAAGGGAATGGGCTAATGGTGTAGGTATTCTTAACTGAATTCTCAAAATTTGGGAGATTTGTAATATTGATAGCGATCGGCTAAAATATTTTTTAAGATTGTATTATACTTATTTCCGGATTTTGACGATACTTGATACTAATTTAGTTATTTGAAATAAAATGTATTTTTAATAATTTTAGTTATAGTCTACCACCACTATTACTAGGAAAAATCCACTGAACAAATAAATAATAATAATAATAAATGACACATTGACACAATTCAAAAAAAATTACGTCATTAAAATTACTATATTAATACATGGACATACAGAACACAAAAAAGGCGTATAAATAAAATTTTACAATAGGAAGATTGTAAATGGATATAATCATTGAAGAGTCATAAAATATTAAATACTAGACTCTTAACCAGTGTGTGAGATGATCAAAAATTTAAAATTCAAAATTGTTCATGATTAACCATCAACAAAAAGGTCGTTTACCGCATTTAGGGCTCTCTTCAGTAAGTATGATTTCAGAGCAAAATACGGGAAAGAATAAAAGCGACTTGATATTCAAAAGCAGGATATTCCAAGGCAAGATGATTGTACATTTTTGGCATTGTACAGTATTGAGCCTTTAACTAGTTCTGAGCTCGGGGTTGGCAGATAAAGATCGTGCTCCGCATTCCTAGGTGGGTAGTTGTGATATGGCCTTTCGGGAATAGCAGATATGTGCTTGCGGATTAAGCAAACGGATTCAAAAATGAATAAAGAAGGAAGAGTCAGTATTTTGAAATTTTTAAAGAAATTCTGGCAGTGAGTTCTACTGTTCAGTCCCATTAAATATCGAACTGCTCTCTTTTGAAGTTTGAAAATACGATCAAATTTTGTCGCGCAGCAAGTACCCCAGAATGGAAGGGCATAACGGAGATGCGACTCCAAAAAGGGCATAATGACTATTCTAGAGGTTGATAAGTTAAGTTCCTTAGAAACTGGCCTTAGAGCAAAACAGGCAGCGCTTAGTTTCTTTGAAAAAGCTTCGAAAAAAATAAACTTAAAAGATAAAAAGAAAATATAAATAGGAAACCATTTATAAAAAAAAGTAGAGAACAGTTGTTATATTCAAATTCTTATTACAATGCTTTCAATTATCGCTCTCACACAATCATCGCCGTAGTACTATATATTTTATAATCGTACCGGCAGAACAAATCTGAAAAAGCACTCCCACGCCGATTATTTCGAACATGCGAATTTTACAAGTCATTGTTTTAGCCCACAAAAAAGTTTTGTAGAGAACTGTTAGAACAATAAACCTCGCCGCTTAATCTTTCTTTAGCAATAATTAATTTGTCTTGTGTGCGATTAGAATCGTTTGCGTAAGTACCGCTAGTCGGGAAATTCAGATCGAGGTTGCTTAACAATGAGTTATGCGTAGAAGTTAGAATCTGGCAGAGGAAGTGAGGGTAATTTGAAATACTGTTGGTAATTTGCCTTAATTGTAGGAGGGAACTAATAGAGCAGTATAAGCAAAAATCAGTAGATCTCAAACACTAAAGTAACGTACAACGAACAAGTAGACAGAAAAGACATTCTAATAAATAGTCTCGCATCGCAAGATAACGGCCTGCGTGCGGGACTTAATATCTTACCGCTACTTTACGACAAGTCGTGTTTATATACTCTGCGCTGTGCTCGACATATTGTGGAAACGACCCAAGCTCACCTGATGATGAGGTAGGGCCCCGAAACCGGTAGTGAGAGCAGGTTGATCCACATTATGTCGAACACAGCGTGGAATTAATTTCTATATTAGCAGTTCAAGGCAAGAATCTCTTATATAATTTTATTATATACCTAAAAACTGCAAGAAATTTAATTTCTATTAAACAGAAAAGATAAGTTAAAACCTCTATTTCTTCTCGCACGTTTTTTAATTGCTTCCATTTTTGAAAATTTTTGTATTCCTTTTAGTTATTTGGGATTTAAATGGAAGTAGTTTGGATATGGCGTTTGTTGCCTCAGCCTAAATATCTGTTGGTAATTAACTTATTTCGTTTTGAGCCAGTTCTGGCTTCTGGCTCCAATTCAATCAGCTTGTTTATTTATTTAATACCTATGGAAGAAACTCAATCATCAAACTCAAATCCAGTATGCCAATTTATCTAAAGAAGAAAACATTCGACCAATGTGACTACCAGTCATGACCTATGTATGCAAAACCTGGACACTTAAAACGGACATCATAAGAAAACTGCAAGTCGCAAAACACCCAGTAGAACGAAGTACGCCCAAAATAATGAAAAAAGATCGTATAAGAATAGAGTGGATACGACAAAAAAGCCAGGTAATTGATGTCATCCACAGAATCAAATCCATCAAGTGGCAATGGGCAGGACACCTGGCAAGAACGACATTAAAAATTACAGAATGATACCCACGAGGAATTAAAAACCCTAGAAGAAGACCAAACCTGGGATGGGACCATGATATTAGAAAATTATCAGGGATAACTTGGGCCCGCATAGCCATCAATATACAACAATGGGCCCAACTACAAAGAGGGTATCTAAATATGTGAGGGATGCTACACCATAACTGTAAATGGTTGAATAAGCCGAAAATTATGATGGTGATGATAACTATGAAGCAAAAATCAGAAGAAAAGATCAAATGAATCTAAAGGAAAATTTGAATTAAATAGAGAGCCAGAAGATCAGGGAACTGTATGTCTTTTCTGCGCAGGATAATTTAGTGAATATACAAGGGCAGAATAGAGAGTTTAGTGCCTCACATGTGAATCAAGATTGCACTGTTATTGTGCCAGATATGACGCCTGAACATACACTAGCTCTGGTCACTTTATTTCCATGGTCTGTACTGTAATGCATAAAAAAGAGATAAATATATACGACCAGCTGACAGACCGAGTGACAGACAGAGAGACAAAATAAAAAGTTGCATACAGTGTTGCCCGTTCCTACGAGAATTAAAATAATAAATGAAGATAATATTTCTATGCTATTCGATCATGCTCATTTCTGTTAGACAGTTCTTTCCACTCTGACTGCTCCACGAAGAACTTACTCCAGAGGAAGTAAAACCGGAAACACTTCTCTGAAAAGGAGAGAGTAAGGAAACCAAGAAACAACCTGACTCATCTCCATCAAAGGGCAAGAGAGGGAGCGAGAACCTCTCACCTCTTCTCCGACAGGGAGAGAAAAAAGCCAGGATGGAAAGCCGTTCAACACCGGGAGGGAAGCAGGGACGTATCACCAGCTTTGCCGCTATTGCTGGAAAAGTGAAAATGGCGGTGCTGCCAAAGTATTTGCCAGAGGTTGCTCTGACCACCGACCAGCAAACGTCTCTAGAAGAGGCTGTACTGGACGAAGTGGTGGCGATCGGATCGCAACACAACGATCTACAAAATGTGGGTCAGCTGCGTTTTTCGGGGATACACTTTTGGCTGGGCATGATCCTCATAGATTGTGTATCTCAAGAATCGGCGAATTGGTTGGTGGATATCGCACCTAAGCTTAAAAATTGGCATGGGCCGGAACTGGTTGCAGTGAAGGGAGAAAACATCTCTAAAGGGGCGGCTATCACGGTCTTTCTGCCGAGGAGCAAGGGGAAAGACACCACCTACCTACTGAACCTTATCCAGGTCAGAACTTCAATGTAAGGACATCGAGTTGGCGAGTCATCAACTCGAGGGAGGAGGGTCATGGTCAGGTTTTCATAATAGGAATTGGCCTCAAATCCAAGTAGGCAATAGGGAAAGAGAGACATATCCTCTATTATAGATACGGGACAACACCAGTATCCGGTCTAAGGAGAGACCAAGTTAAAGAGGTGGAGAAAATGGAGACAGATCCTCCAGCCTCCACCTCACTGGTTCCTCAGCTGGAGGCAAGCTCGTCGACTGTGAAGAGTGGCACGGAGGGCCAAACTCCAACCGTGGAAGGGTGTGTACCCTCGGAGGAAAAACTGTTGTCAGAGGAGTCTGTTGTCGGAGGAGAACTGTTGTCAGAGCTGTCCCCTCTACAACAGGGGTATGATGGGTTATAGACTGTGTGATGATTCAAGGAAGGGGGGCGCAATAGATCTTTAAGGTCGCAGTGATTAACCCCCCTCTTACTCATGAGTAAATTAAGTTCCAACCTTAGATGCAACATTTTTCGTAAACACCTACTTTTGCGGTTTCAAGTTTTGATGCAAAATATGCCGTCAATAATCCATAGAGGAGAAATGTATTAACCTAACTTTTATATCTCTTTAATGCATTTAATTTTTCATTTGAGCTGTTTATTCCACTGTTTTATTTACCCCTTTTAATATTAAGATTTTTGGAACTTTTTTCATGAGCGATAAAATCCATTTAAATTGTTTTAAATACTTTGAAATTTTCCTATGACATGGTGTAGATCTAAGGCACATTTAATTTTTTGCAATTTCTTTTGAAACTACTATTCCGAAATACCTTCACCTCCTCTACTACAAAATATAGATTATAAAAAAGTTAGGTGCGTTTTTGTAAAATTTAAGCACGTACAAATACTGAAAAATTGTAAGAAAATATTCTTTCATGTGTCAAAAATGTTTCACTATAATTCGCTTTTGGTTACTCATCGTAAAAAGAAAAATTTCCAAAAAAATATGCCCATTTTCAATAAATTAATGTATTTTTTATTTACTTCAATTAATTGAAACTTATTTTATAGAGATATCGAGTCTTTATTGACATTTCCGTTTGTTTAAATAATCCAAATAAAACAAAACAATATAAACAAACATAACTTCTGCCTTACCTGTCATCTTTATGTAAGTCAGTTTCCTCCAAAGCCCATTCTATCCAAAGTCCAGGTACTTTCTCCTTAGGCCCAAAAGCAAACTTAGGACTCTTGACGTCGTAATCTAGTCTAATAGCCTTTATTATCACATATTGGTCACCATCCACGCAGCTATAATATCAAAAGAGTGCTATTGAGACAAATCTTTTATTTAAAATATAAAATTGATATTAATATACACCGATTAGACCGTTACATTTTTGACTGTTACATTTACATGTCGTAATGTTGCCACATTTCGTTAGAATAACACTTGAATCAAAAATTTTAATATTCATAGTATATATAACAAAGAAACTTTCCATTTAATAAGTAGGAATACAATCTAATTTGATTATTAAAATTTTATTTCTGTAATTGGAAAAATGAAGAGATATATATTGCTTCATTTGCACTGGTGTAATACATTAACATAAATTTAGTATTGCTCATGAACCTGGCAACATGGAGAGTACGTCAGCTTGTAAAAGAAGTGAACAATAATTGCTTGACCACGATCAATAGACTATTTATACTAATTTTTTATTACCTATGCATTATGACAAAAAAAACTTTGTAGGTTATGCGTTTCAGAGTAGTGTAGTAAAAGTGTACCTACTATTTTTATTAATATAAATTTAAATACCTGTACAAAGTGTTCGCCTCAGCTGAATTCCTATTAGATTCTTCTATACATAACTGAAGAGCTCTCGTCTCTTCCAGTAATGTTAGTAGATTAAGTTCTTCTCTGCCTAGTTGATATTCTAGTTCAGCCTGCTGAATTCGAACATCAATGTTGCTACAAAACGATTATATTTTAGAAAATACCAACAAAAATATAAAGAAACGTACTCTGTAATGTCCAGTCTTTCTAAAGCCATTTTTAAATTCTTAATTGCTAATCTTTTGTTGTCGATATCAGTCTTTAATCTTCCTAGTCTATCTTCAGCCTGTTTCTTTTCTACTTCTGTTAGTTCCCTATTATTTGTACAGTTACTATTATTATTGTTGTTGTTACCTAAAAATTATTGAAGAGTTTTATATGGTAAATATATAAAACAAATAAAACTAATTATGATACACCGATAGTCTGGTTTTTTGACCGTGAGAATAAAGAATTGAATAAGTTTTTCTTGGTTTTGTTTATTATTAATCAAATGTGTATTAATGCTTGTGTCATTAATTACCCTCATAATACCTGCTTATTACAAAACGTAGTCTTATAGAGTTAATGGCCGTTACAACAAACATTGTACCAAAAATATTACTTAGTAATAATGGAAACGAATTGATTTTACCAAGAATAGTCGTTTTGATTATTTGGTCTTATAAAAAGTACAATCATATTTTTATTTTATTTTGGCAAACAGTAGGAAAAATTGAAAAACTATAAAAGGAAGCAGAAGAATAACGATTTTATATAAGCCGCATTAGCTGCTGGGCCATTTAGCGGCATTGATCAAATTAAAGTTAAATTAAACTATATTAATGAACCCAAACCCGATGCCCTAATAAATTGGAACAAAGAATGTAGGTTATTAGCATCAATAACGGAAGCCAGATCGCCATTCAGACCAAATGATTGTCTTAAGTTATTGAAGGAGGGACATTCTATTAGGAGGTGATACACTGTTAATTGGTTGCCACAATGAGAGCAGTTAGGCGGGGGGTCGCCCTTTAAAAAGAAAGAATGGGAGAAATGGCAGTGACCCAACCTGAGCCGATTCCAAATGACTTCCTCACTTCTGGACAGAGACCGAGCTACAGAATCTTGAAAGAATTGAGGTTTACATTCATATAGCTTATTTGAATCTCCTGTTACTTCCCACTCTGCCTGGATACCACTTTTTATTGTGGACATACGTAGAAATTTAAGTTCAGAGATAGAAAATGCAAGCGGTATAAAATCTCCATTATTTGCCGCAGTCTTAGCAATCTTATCAGCATCTTCATTACCTCTTATACCCACATGGCTAGAAATCCATACTAGATCCATAGTTGAACCTTTAGATATTGAAAAGTGATGCAAGTCGAGCGATTTAACGGCTAGAGGATGTTTTGGTGATAATTCGTTTAGGCTTTGTAATGCATTTAGGGAATCTGAACATATTACCCATTTGGAAGGAGGTAGGTTGGAGATTATTCTTAGTGATTCCTTAATAGCAAAAAGTTCGGCAGAAAGGATGCTGGTGGTAGGAAGTAACCGATATTTATAAAACATATTGTTATGTAATACGGCGCATCCTGCTGCCTGGGAGAATTTGGAACCGTCCGTGTATATTATATTATCTGGAGATAGATCTTGAATAATACCGTAAAATGACGATTTTATTAAAGATGGAGGGGTGCTTTTTTGTCTAGTTTGATGAGTGCATTATTCATTGATGGGGCAATTAATTCCCAGGGAGGAGTGGTGACATTTCGAAGTGGCATGCATTCAGGAATAGTGATGTGATCTTTGCAAAAATTGGAAAAAATTTGCCCTGGACTATCGGATCTAGAATTAAGTATAATGTTTGGAGAAACAAGTGGTCGAAAAAAGGAACTATACGTTGGGATAAATGGTTTGAATTTAAGTGACATAGCTTATTGAAATAGCAAATTGAGCCGATGGTACTTAAGAGGCATTATACCCCGTATTTAAAAGGTATTATAAGCTGTGTAAACTAGTAATAGGACTAGTACGGAATGCTCCAGAAAAGTATAAAAGGAATTTAGTAGTAGTAAGTACACTTTACTAGCAGCAAAAACTTTTATGTATAATGCAAATTCTCCCAAAAGTTAACAAAATGTTTTTTTTTCCTTTGTAAAAACTATCCGGGAACATACTGTATATTATTCGCTAGTACATTCAGAATACTTGAAATTATAGCAAAAGATAACGCAAGACAAAATTATTAAAACATTGTATGTGATAATATGCACCTGTAAATTAATTTCAGGCTATCAATTTCAGAGAAAGTCTGTAGTTATGTACTTAAAATATTTACAGATATCGTATAACCTTTTAATAAGTAAGGAAATATTATTATGTAATTTAGAAATAAAGTTGTTTAATATATGAAGAGATTTGCAGTGAATATGCATGCTGTATTTAGAATCCTCTGAGACAAAACAATTTGAAATCCTTTATAATGTTTATTTATTAACTTTATATATCTTTTAATTTTTTGTGTCTTCTTAGCAGGTTTATTATCGGTTACAATCTTTGGAAAAGCGCCTCAACTTAATATCATAGTTCAATAAATTTATAGACTAAACAATTAAGCAAATATTCATTCACATATTTACCACATAGTTATATTATTTTTTACTACTTGAAAAGATTTTATCGTAAAGCAATAATAATTAAATCAAGTCTGTAGTGTCTAGACATAATTAATCTTTATATTTCCACTAAATTATAAACAGGATTGCCTTTACAAGAGGAAAAACTTTTTTATTATTGACATTTTAAGAAATAGGCATTCTTCATAAAAATTTTGCTTGTTTTAACCATTTTAGAATTTTTTTTCAGTTTTTTTTCTAAATTTCTATACAGTTTTAGAGAAAATTAAGGAAAACCTGAAAATATGGTTGAAATTTTTTGAATATATGATTGAATTCCAGTTCTAAAAATCAAAATAATAAAAAAATAATGGTAATACCTATAATATAAATGGGTAAATGGTAATATAACTTCGTTTTCGTTCTTTGATAGATTGTTATTCACAGAATTTTAATGAACCTAAAGTTTTTTTGTTGTTTTAAAATGATAAAGAAGCACAACATTTATTTAGTTCAATGCTACGGAAGGGGTGATGATAGTTATTGGAAAATATGATACTTACAATAATATGACATTATTGGGGATTAGCCATTTTAGAACAAGCAAATTTTTTTATGAAGAATGCATTTTTCATCGATAAAATTTCAATAATAAAAAACTTTTCCTTTTGTAAAGGCAATCCGGGGACATGCTGTAAGATAATAAACTAATTACTCATTCATTTTTTGGGTGCATTTATCAAATAAATAGTGCATGCACTGAAGAAAACTTTTATAAGCCTAGTAAAAGAAGTAAAAAATACCAAGTCAGAAAAATAGTTAAAGCTTTAGTAACAAACTACCTTTTATTTATCAATGAATCGCCCCTTATTTTTTTTGCATTTATTTTGAAACACCCTGTATAATGTGCTATACAGGATGAGTCTTAAATAAGTGCAAATATTTTTAGGGATAGTATACTTCCACCCCAGAAACACGTCTATTAAATAAATTATAATATAGATTAAATTTACAACAAAGAAAACCCAGAAAAAATCCTCTGGTTCTCAAAATTGATAGTCCGGTCAAATTAGACCAAAAAATAAGTGTAAAGGTACTTCAATTTACAACAAGCTGAAATTAAAAATAACAGTTTAAAATTCCGATTCATTCCGGTGCTTGAAAAAAAAATTATGCGAGGTCAAAAGTCAAAAATCTAAAAAAAAAATGTTTTTTCGCGATTTTCAGCAAAACGGTAAGTTTTATTATAAAATTACCTTAGACAAAAATTATAGATCAAAAAATAAAATTCTCTATAAAAAATGTATCAATACTTTTTTTCCTTAGAATCACTGTTTCTGAGATATAACGAGTCAAAGAGTTATAATCGTCACAATATGAACACGTTTCCACGCCACATATGAGGTTGTGTACTTAGCGCGTTTTTTTAACATGGTTTTTCCAGTATCAGTAGGCCTATTCCACATGTCTATTATGATTCTGTTTAATTGAGAACTATTGCAGAATAAAAGATATAATAAGTATTGAAAATTATAAAAGCGATTTAAATAAAAAAATTGCAACACACAAAGGCTTGCGCCAAGGTTGTTGCATCTCCCCTACTCTCTTTAAAATATACGTTGCAGTCGCTTTAAAAAATTGGAAAAGAAAGATCCGTGGTATGGGCATAGAGTTTGACAATGAATGTTTGTTCACACTTCAATTCGCAGACGATCAACTAATAGTTGCCAATGACAAAGACGATATGCAATATATGCTAAGAAAACTTATTGAAGAATACGGAGAATGGGGCTTGACAGTTAACATAGCCAAAACAAAATATCTATGTATAGGCGCACAAGAAGGAAACTTGAACTTGGACAAAGGACACGAAATTAAGCAGTGTCAAGAGTATGAGTACCTGGGAATTACATTTGCTAACACTGGAACTGACGGCAGAGAAATAGAGAAAAGGATTATCAACGCGAAAAAAATAATCGGATGTCTAAATGGAATCTTATGGAGCAAATCAATAACAAAGCGAAGAAAATTCAATATATATGAAACCATGATAAAGAGCAACCTCCTGTATGGAGCAGAAACATGGAGAATAACTGAGAGATACAAGAAGAGGATAGAGGCCGTAGAAATGGATGTCATTCGAAGATCAATGGGAATTTCAAGACAACAACGAATAAGAAATAATACCATAAAACAACAAATGGGTATAGAAGGTACGATAACACAGGATATAGAGAAAAAGCAGCTGATCTGGTACGGACATGTAGAGTGAATGAAGGACACTAGATGGCCCAAGAAAATAATCAATTGGCAACCAAAGGGCAGAAGAAAACAATAATAAATAGAACAGGCTAACAAAATAGAACAGGCTGGAAATTGGGTATCGGACAACGTAGAAAAACGTTCTAAACCGACTAATATATATAAATAAAAAATAGAAATTTACTAGTCTGATTCATAACCTTCAAATACTTCTTCTTGTTGTTCTTCTTGATCTTTGTCTTGTTCGTTTTCTTCATCCTAGATGTAAGTAAATTGCGTCAATAGTGCTGTATCGCATGTTTCTTCGTTGGTATCAAACGAATCCTCTACTATTGGTGATTCAACATTAGAACATGACCGGCCTTGACAATTTGTACATACCAAAGAACAAAACAGTCCAAGCAGTTTCGCAAAGAGTCAAAATCATGTACTATTTTACACGCAATAACTGGCTGTGATATGACGTCTGCATTTTACAGGAGGGGTAAAACAACAATCTTTAAAATGTTTGAAAACAAGACTTAGTTCAATGTGCTGGAGTTTTCAACAAAAGTAATTCAAGTCAACAAGATATTACCACCTCCTGGATTCGATTTCTTCTTTCTACGTACGGAGCTCCCAAAAAAAACCTGCTTAGATAAGTATCGATATGCATGTTTCGTTTAAAACACTCGAAATAAAAAACAGTTGCAATTAGCTTGTCTTCCTTCAACCTCAGTTGCTGCTCATGAACATCTTTTCCGGATATGTTACCAAGTTATCAGCTAGACCCAAAAGACTGGGGTTGGAAGTTAGTTTACAATACAAATTGTCAAGGCCCGTCATCTTCTAATGTTGAATCACCAATAGTAGAGGATTCGTTTGATATCAACGAAGAAACATGCGATATATTACTATTGACAATATTTACTTACATCCAGGATGAAGAAAACGAACAAGATGAAGATCAAGAAGAAGAACAACAACAACAAGAAGATCAGACTAGTAAAGTTCTAATTTTAATAGGTATTTCCATTCCTTTTATAATTTCTAATCCTTACTAATATCTTTTATTCTGCAATAATTTTCAGGTTTTCAATTAAACAAAATCACAATAGACATGTGGAATAGGCCTACTGGGGAACCGACGTTAAAAAAATGTATATACACAATATAAAGTACACTACCTCATAGGTGGCGTGGAAACATGTGCATATTATGACTATTACAACTCTTTGACTTGTTATATCTCAGAAACAGTGGCTCTATGGAAAAAAACTGTTGATACATTTTTATAGAGAATTTTATGATCTATAATTTTTGTCTGGGTAATTTTATGATAAAACTTACCGTTTTGCTGAAAATCGCGAAAAAATTGTTATTTTCGAGATTTTTGATTTTGACCTCGCATAAATTGTTTTCCAGGCACCTGAATGATTCGGAATTTTAAAATGTTATTTTTAGTTATGTTTTAAACAATTACACGCATTTTGAGCTTGTTGTAAATTTCTGTACCGTCGAATGTCTAAATTGACCGAGCTATTAAGTACCTATCATTTTTTAAGCAAGATTTCATTTTTTGTTATTTTTAAAGTAAAATAACACAGTTATTTTGGAATGTACTAGCCCTGAAAATATTTGAACTTATTTAAGACTTACCCTGTATAATGCTACTATAAACGTTTTTGTTCTCATAGGATTTATAGTCATCACTTTTTCAATTAAAATATAACTGTATTTTGTTTATTTATTTAAGTTGATTTAGTGTGATCCCTTTCAAAGAAATAGGCTAATGTATAATATCTGTGGTACTTAATATTAATTTAGGGGACTTACCATTCAAAATGGCATTTAGTCTTAATCCTGGCACGGTAAGCTGACCTTTTAAGCTTTGAATTATATTCTCCTTATCCCTAAGCGCGTTTCTTAAATTCTCCAGTTCTTTGGCGGCCATTTCTTTTGGTATAGATCGTATTGAAGAATTTAAAGATATCGGACTAACTTTTTTTCTGCGCGGTGTACTGGAAAGGGACACTTCTATACTGGCCATCTGAAAATAAAAATTGCTATTAATATTATTTATAAATAATGTACTAATTTATGACTAACAAATTGTTTACTTATATTATACATATTTCCGGAAAATATTAAACAATTGTTAAACTGAATTATAGCTATTGAATGTTTAGATGATCTAATACATATACCTACTTAGATATTACCTATAGGGTGTCCATAAGGGGGAATACAGGGTGAGTCTCCAATACGTGCAAATATTTTTAGGGGTAGTATATTTCGACCCCAGAAACATGTCTATGCTTTTTTTTCGCCAAAAAAATTGAAAATTTACGGATTTTTTTTTTAATATTTAGTTAAAAAACATAATATCTTCATAATATAGCAATATAGGTATACTCTGTTTTTTTCTCAGGTAAGATTTCGACAGACGATGACAGAAAAAAAGCAGATGACCTCCATACCAATCCATTTATTTTACTAAAAAAAGTTTCTAATATTTTTTAAGTTAACTATGGATGGGTTTATATATAAATCCGTCATGCGTCATCTCTTGTTGTTTTTAACCAGTTTTATTGGTTTATTTCAAAAATGACAGATCATATTTCAATATTATTGGTTTAACGGAACGATAAACGACAAATGGACGCCGATGCGTATGAACTCGACTTAAGATTTTTGAGAGTTGTCAAACTCTTGCCAAATTATAGGTTATAATTTTGTGTCAAATTATGTCAAATAGAAATGATAAATATTTTGAATTTTGGACTGTGTTATTACGTGTGTTACGTGTTTTTTTAAAATTAAGTGGAGAAAAACTTAAAGGGGAAATTCAACACTTAATTAGACCATAGTTTAGAGTTAATATTCGGTGCCCAGAGACAGAAAGTTGTATTACCCACAAATAAAATCTGTATACCATCTTGTATATGATATCAAAAACTGGAGTACCTAAAATAGCAGCACACGATAGGTAAATAATAATCATAATATTGAGTAATTATACATATATAAATGTAACAATAAATGCAGAAAGTTGCTTGAGCTTGAAACACGGCTTGAGAGCAGGAATTTATTTTATATCTTTTTTTGCTGTGGTGTTTTGTAAAATACACCCTTGCTTGTTTTGTATTAACAGATACTGTAATTGTTTTTAATAAAATAACTCGATTAGATTTTTTTAATTTTATAGTTTTTTTCAAAATATTTTGAAGTAATCACTTGTCACTCAAACTTTAAATATATTTTCTGCTATACATTCCAATTGTACCAACTTATTTCTTTGTAAAATAAAATAAACTACTTTGAAAATAAAATGACAGACATATCTATCACTATCAAGGATCTTGTCGTTGGACAGACTATAGTAGATTAAATTTACAAGAAAGAAAGCCCAAAAAAGAACCAGTGGTTAAAATTTAAGCGAAAAAAATATTCTTTTTAATTTTTAAAGTAAAATATCTCGTTAATTTGGACTTATTTAAAAAACCGTAAAGTGAAAATAATTTCTTTTATCGAGATCTACTAATCATGAAAATATTTGTCCTTATTTAGGACTAACCCTGTTTATCAAATTTGCAGCCTATTAAATGAGACACCAGACATATTAAATAGTTTCATTAAAACATGTTTCTTGCATATGTCAAAAACAGATTTTATATAGCATTTTGCACAATTAAATTAACTATTATAGAAGCTTAAACTTAATTTAAAATTTACACGAAAATTTTTACAGGATGAGTCAAAATTAATACTGAACCTTCATAATATATACGGGCAACTTAGTTGCTTATTTTATATAGAACACTACTATTCTTTACTGTTCGGAAACATAAAGGACGTTGTAGGACACATGAAGAAATAAAAAATTAACATTTTTTTATTACGGGGGGTTTTTGAAATTTTTTAACAGTTTCGCAGATATTACAAAGCTAAAATTTAACAAAGATTTAGATAAAAATTTGTAGTTGAAGAGGCCGTATATAATAGAGTAGTTCAAATATCTGCAAAAGCTCTATATACAGGGTGTTCCGTTAAAGAAAACAAAAGAAAATTTATATTAACAATTTTGATATTTTGATCCACCAAAACAATTTTCGATTACAATTTACAAACAACCAAACTTATATAGAATCATCTATTATTGTTCATAATTTTTGAGATGTATGAAAATTTTGTGTTTATGAATAAAACTCAGCCCTTACCAATGACTTTTAATGAAAAATAATCCATATAGCAATAAAAAAATTAATCAGTTGCAGAAATAAACAAAATGGTATTTTTTGGTTCCTGAAACGAAATTAAGATTTAAAATTTTAATGGCCAAAAAGCATAAAAAACAAGAAAACTGATAATTTTAATATTCCTTGTTGCCACGTCTAGCTCTTATGCAAGTTTCTATCCGCACTGGCATGCTTCTTATTAAATTATCCACGTTGTCTTGGGGTATGTATTCTGCTAATCCTGCATCAATAAGCTGTACGAGATTTCCTGGATTGTTTCGACGAGCTCTAACCCTTCTTTTGAGCTAGTCCCACAAGTGTTCGATAGGGTTTAGATCTGGTAAATAGGCAGGCCAGTCCAAAACTATGACACCTTCCTTTTCAAGATATTATCTCGTCACTATGTTGGTATGGAGAGGTGCACTATCGTGCATGAAGTTAAAATTATCCCCAATTGCAGCTCTCCAAAGACTAACGATTGGTTCTAGCACCAAATCAACATATCTCCGACCCGTTAAAATTTGTTGAAGCGGTAACAGTGGAGTTTTTGCTCCCATTATAATACCTCCCCAGAACATTACAGTTCCTCCTTTATATCTTGGTACAGATTTGGCAGCCTGAAGTCTCGCTCGTCTTCCTGGAGCTCTGAGAACCCGAATTCGATGGTTATCTGATCTTAGGCCAATTCTGGTCTCATCTGAAAAAAGAACATTTTTCCAATTCTCAGTTGTCCAGTTTTGATGTTGAAGGCGTCAATTTAGCCGGTAAATTTTATTTTGCCGAGATAACTGTGGGATCCGTAACTCTCTCCTACTGTAAAACCCTCGTGCACGAAGCCTTTTTCTTATGGTTTCAACTGAAACGTTCACACTTGTAGCTGCCAGAAGTTGTCTTTGTAGCTCTGGATGAGAAACATTGTTGTTCAGTCGTGACTCTTTGATGACTTTGTAGCCTATCCTTGTGTATTCCTAATTCCAAGTATCTGCCATATGTTTTCGATACAACACCCTGGGTAACGCCTACTATCTCTGCTACGTCTTTCTGGAGCATTCTTTGTTCGGTGAGAGGAATAATTCTTCCCCTCTGTACAGCTGTTAATCCAACATATGGCATTTTTTATTTTTTTTTTACATTAAATGAAAATTACCGGACAATCGTGATTTTACTACTGAACACAAAATTCAAAAGAAAATAAATCGCAGCAGTCGTTTATTCTTTATTATAATGTCTATTTACAACAAAAAGCCTTATCTTAAAGTTGTATACCATTTTTTATATTTGCAAGAAATTTAGTCAGAAATAAAGAGTGATTCCGTATAAGTTTGGTTGTGTGTATGTTTAAATAGGTAAGCTTATTACTATACCAATAGATGATTAGACGCACTGTTGTAGGACTCTGCATAATATATAAAGCTTCATTCAAAACCTTAAAATTAGTGGTTTCAATTAACCAAAAAGTTCAGAACGTCAAAATTATTGGTAGTAATTCTCAATTAGAAGAAAAAGTTAACAAACTTTTAAATTTTGCCATCAATTATATGTCAAAATTTGCGAGAAATGATATTTTGGTCTTTAATTATCTTCCGCCAAGAGAAATTGTGTTTGGAAACAAAAAATTTATTCTTTTATAAGCTAATTATTAGGTTTTCTAAATGGATACACTGACTATCGCAAGCTGTTGCTGGAATATTCTATTAATTTAATGGTGCGTTTAGACTTGAGCACGCACGCACTGATCCTCTGCGAATGCTCAAGTGTAAACGGCTGTGCGCGCACGCTCACTCTGGATCTGTCTGTGCGCGAGCAGCCGCGAACGTGAGCCGTCTGGTGTCGGTTTTTGGTGGGTGCTCAAAGGGATTTTATGTGTGCGCGAACGCTCAGTTTGCACCGGCAATTTGTTTTGTCTGCATTCGTGCGTGCGTGTGTGATTTTTTTTCGTTTTCTTTATTAAAATTATCGAGAGGATCAATGATTCTTCGTTATCATTAATTGAAGAATATGAAAAGTTGCCTATATTATGGCATGTTAAACATTCTTTGTATTATTAAAAAATCAAAAAAAAAAAAACGCATGGCAAGATCTTGTAAATAAAATTAATATTGAATATGTCGATATTAATGAAATTGCTATTTTAAAATTTGTATCTTTTGTTCGTAATTTTTGGTGTTATTAAATTTTGTAAATACTCTAAGTCGGGTCTGGTCATTCTTGTAAAATTTTTGAACTGATCATAGCCCTCCTCAGATACTAAGTTGTTGCAGTAAATTATATCGATTTCTAAAAATTTGGGTTTGCCACCAGCGACGATGTTTTCGATTTTTCTCCTTTTTAATAATTAAGCTGTGCATAACAATGACTGCAGCCTCGACTATTTCTTGATCGTCCATTATTTTCGCCAACACAACTCTGCTGTGCGCGCACAAATGGATCAATTCATTCGCCGAAAAATAAGTTTTTAATTTGAACGGATCCGAAAGCGCGAACGAATGCCCTAAATTTCTAAGCAACCTATAAACGCACCATTAGCTGTATTTTTTTAGACATTGCGAATGATCGTAAATTTCTAAGCATAACGTATAATTGAACCACTAATTTCGTTCTGAATGAGCTTACAGAATTAATATTTAGAACTAAAAATACACGTAAGACCTATATTCGGATAAAGACATAAAAACACACCTACTCAATTAAAATTTCTAAAAATCCTCCGGATATTATTAAAGAAAATTCATTACGAGAAATGCAATATACTTGTTTCGAAGATTCCAATCGTAAATGCTTCGTTTATTATGTTGTAAAGAATATAACGATA